TGGGAGTATAAAAAAAAAAAAAAAAACAGACATTCCATCACCTCAGAATTCTGCTCTTTATTAGATCTTTTCAGTCTCAGCCAATGAAGTCTAGGATACAAGGGCTACATAGGAAACCCAACAGTATGTACTTGGAAGATAAAGTATAACAATCTGGATGAAACTGAATTATTCAGCGTCTTAAAAAGATTATTAAGCAGGTCATGTGGAGATGTGAGTGTAGGTGTGTAAATAAAGCTTACGGCCTTGTCTCCTGATCCATTAGCCTGCTGTTTAAAAGCCTCAATTTCCAAAAATTCCAGTACCTGTGGCCAATTGTTTTGCTTTGTGTGTTGTTGTTTTTTTGTCCCTTTTCTCAAATATTGTTGCCAGTCATTCATATTGTATTGTTTTAGCAATAATTTTCTGTATCTGTGAAGAATTTTGTTTACTAGTAAGACTGACCCAGTACTAAGAAATTTGTGTTATCTAAAATATGTTTTGCTAGTAAAGTATGTAATTTGCTGTGTTAAATCATAACCAGGGATATATGTAATTAGTGGTGATGGGGGGTCGTCTGCAGAGAAGACATAGTAGTTTAATGAATCATTACCTCTTTCTGACTCAAAGCTTAGAGGGTATCCAAAGTAAATGCCTATTTCAGAATTGTCCATACCCCCTGCTGTGACATTCCCCATTGCCTGTTAGCGTGACCATGACTGGTGACACAGACAGAAGGAATGCATCTTCCTTCTAGTAAAGGGACATTACCAAAATGTTTATCTTGCTTATTTAGGGAAAGGCATTTAGAAAACTTGTTGCAAACGTGGTGCAATATAAATGTTTCTTTAAATGGAAGCTGGTGTGTATTTCTGTTATTTTTGTTGTATATGTTTTGCTTTTCTTGCGGGCAGTCTCCTCTTCCACACTTTAGACGTATACTACTAGATTAACTGTTTCTTATTGGGGAAAATACAAACAAAGCAGCTTGTTAGTAGCTAGGCCTGTTCACATGGGAGGGGCAGATCACAGCAAGAACATAAGTTCCCCTGCTAGTCAAAAATTTAAATTAGCCTGCTTCTAATAAAACACCGGATTACTGTATGGTTTAGAATATGTATGTAAGACCATGCACTGCACCAGGGTACCACTTTAAAGATTGGTCCTTGTGCTAATCTGTGGGACTACTAATATAGCAATGAATACATTTAGACCACGCTTACCTGGACTTTACATTTTCCTCTAAGTGCACTTTGACACATGAGATCAAGTCTGCAGGTTTCTCATGTGTGTATTAAGCACAGGAAAAAGAGGCAGCATAATGAACTGATGCATATTAGAGCATGTAGGAGAATGAAAGCCAAGATCTGATTTCTTCCACCAGGAAACACCTTCTTTCTTTATGTATTAGCTACCGTATCATACTACTGTCAGCCTGGTACTTTATTTTAGGGCTGCGGAAATTAACGATTAATCCCTCGATTAATCGTTAATTATTTTGATAGATCAAAGTTATTTTGATCCAGACTCACCTCTACGCCGGTATTGCTGTGCTGTATGTGTATAGGCTAATGTAGTTGGATCTGTATGTGCGTTATAATTAATCAAAATCGATTAAAAAAAATTTTGATTAATCGAACAGGAAATGTTTAATCATTACCAGCCCTACTTTATTTGTAAACTTGGATGTCATGTCTTGGACCTATTCTGTCACTTCGGGTGAAAGCAAAGTAAGGGCTCAAATTCCTAGGTCTCTTTGGGCTCACAGGACACTGGTGCTCCTTAACAGTTCCTGTCCGCCAACAAAGTCAAATAGGAAAGGTCGTCACGCAACTTATCCTTATGAGTAAAGGGCATACAAATCCACATATGACCAAACTGCTGATGCCTTTTGGCCCTAATTATGCTGATTATGCTGGCCCTAATTATTCTGATGTCATATGGCCCTAGTTATAGCTGAGTGCCAGTAGCCACAAACCCCAATAAATAAACCCTGCAAGTGATGGAAGGGATGAATATCTCATTAAGTGTCAGCTGTCTTGATGATGGCAAAACACATTATAAAACAAATAAATGCTTATGTCTTAGCAAAAAGCAGACAAACTGCTAGCCAAGATGTCAAAATGAAACCGTATAACACATCATCATTGCTACCTTGTACTACAAATATGTTCTATTGATTTATCATTTGGTTTATATTAACTGGGGGGATAACATAGATCCTAACTCATCCTACAACGAGAAGCAGCAACCATTTTTTTTTTTTTTTTTTTTTTAATATTTCCTGAAAATACAAAAAAATAGGCATATTGATATATGGTAATATCAGTAATTTGTTGAATCTCAATTCAAAACATAGCCACAAAAATGACAGAAAATTGTGTCACAACAACCTGAAAAATTACATATCCAACGATTTCATATGTCTGATAAAGTGCTTACAATAGCTCATGTAGTTTTTATAATATGTAGGTCAGTATTTGTTTCCAATAATTAGAATTATGTTCTTATGTTAAGTGTTTGGTATGTTACTGCAGTTCATATTGAGCTTACCACGAGGGCGCAGAAAATGCTGTGTAGTGTTTTTGTGTCCTTCCAGAGACCACAAGATATCCCTGGGGGAGTAGAATGCGCTCTGGGGTTTTTGGAAGTTTTCAGTCTGTTGGCAGCCGCTCCACTGTACATTCCAAGTTTAGGTTGGGCCCGAAGCCCAGAAGTGAAGTTGGTCATAAGCATTCTGATCATCCAGACAGCTACATTTAAAGTGCCATACCCCTAACAGAAGATACATTCGTTCCCTACTCAGATTGTTAAAATATTATGCTGTTTTACAGTATCCTTAATTTATCATGTTTGTTATACACAGCTAATATTAAATTCACATCTGCTTTTATCTCATATTTATACAAATATAAATGGTGTCACTGAAATAATTTGTGTTTAAATATCGTTTAGCCTTGTTCTCCTAAAAAAATATGCTTTTTGTTTTTCTTGTATATAACCGTGACTAACTAAAGTAGCTCACTTTATGATGGAGAGATGTATGTTAGGATTTTCCTCTCGCTAATCAAATGAGATTACTTATTAAACTTATTAAAGACCCACAAGATAAACCTGTAATAATGTGCTTAAATGATACGCAAAATGCTCAAATATGTCTCATCACTTGGTACCAATGATTTTTGTATAACTGACCTTAGCAAGATGTAATGTAAATATAGATCTACTGAAATCAACAAAGCTAATGGCTCTTTAGTCTTGGGTACACCACCCAAATAATAATCTGCTACGACCTTACTTGACTTGCGGATTGCGCGTTCTACAAAGGGAAAATGGGATATAATAAAAAATTGATAAACTCATTTACACCTGAAGGCATCAAGCCACTATGACAGGAAGTGCATCTTAAGATTCTATACTAAATGTGTTAGAATGAAGAGTTTGCATTAAAAAAAGGAAGTGCAAGACCTCAAGTAGCCTGCTTACATTATAAGGCAACTGTTATATAGTTAGAATTGTGGTTAAGGGATATTTTTCAGTGGAAATTTGACACTTTGTTCATGAGGACAAGGTGCTAACATCTTGCTACTTTCCATGCAGCCTAGATTCCAACACAGGGGTTCCAAAGAATAAAAGACCAATCATGGGACTACAAAAGAGCCAAGATCAGGATAAAGAATGTCCCACCTTCCTAGTACTGAGCACTAAAAACCCTGTAAAGGGACCAGGTATCACGTTGCCCATTTACTGTTTTAGGGCTGTGGCACGGGCAAGAATTGGGTCCATCAGTTTTAGCAGCCTTGAGGAACGTGATGCTGGAGTGATTAGGGTAGGCAACATGACTAGTTGAGAATGTTTGCCTCTGGTTGGACTTCTGTAGTGTTTGCAGCAGCATCCACTTCACCTGTAGTTAGTTGAAAAGGGAAATGCAATGCAAACTACTGAAAGGTCAGTGTGAGTCACATCGGAGTATTCCACAAATGTGATAATCAGTGTTAATGCCTTGGTTAATCTCATCCTGTCTTGTATTTGATAGTTGGAATGCACACACATGTTTGTGAACACATGTAACCATACACCTGTTTCTTTCCTGGTTGTTCAGGTCGTGATGGCGCCACATGAACCCTGTGTTGTATTTGTGGATAACTATATCAAACTGCTTGCTGACTGCAACACGGAAACATTCCAGAGGATATTGGAAATGAAGGTAAGGAGAGCACAGGCTAGAGTTACACTGTTTGGTGACAGAGCTTCCTCATGTCAGTGAACAGTATATAATTTCCTAACACATTATTTCCATCTGAGGATAACAAGACTGGATCCCTGGCACAGGCTTGGTTCGTACGTGTTTCTGAAAACATTCTTTACATCTTGTTATATATGTATTCATCTTTAATGTATGGCTTTATGCATACAGTATATACATGAGGTTTCAGCAAATGAGCTTTAGGTTGTATTGCCGCCACAAATCCTATATTCACTATAATAAAAATATGCAAATCATTTATACAGAATATTTTCTATGAAGGGCACTATCTGCCTGAAGATAGTTGTTGCCTCATTGTAACCCATGTTTGTGATTAATACACACATATTATAGCAGCAGACGAACGATCATCCAGTATACTAATGTACTATTTTCACTGATTTGAGCTCACTTGGCCTGTACAATTGACCTAGCTTCACAAACGAGACAAAACTTTTAGATCATCTGATACGAGAAGCCATGTGGACTATTGCGATTTTTCAATATATATATGCCCTTTGAAGATTTTGATATATAGTGGTAATAGAGATTTGATACAATGTCACTATATATGTATAAAACAAGACAAAGTAACAGTTTTGAGTTATAATCATGGGCAGCACAGTGGTGTAGTGGTTAGCGCTTCTGCCTTGCGGGAACCTGGGGGGTCCCCCGTCCGAATCCTGGCCAGTATCACTATCTGCAAGGAGTTAGCATGTTCTCCCTGTGCTTGCATGGGTTTTCATTTCATATTCCAGTTTCATCCCACACTCCAAAGACAGGTTAATTGGCTCCTTTCTAAGTTGGCCCTCTTTGTATATGTTTGTATATATAAAACAAGACAAAATGTGAGATAGGGACCTTAGATTGTAAGCTCCTTGAGGGTAGGGACTGATGTGAATGTGTATCTATGTAAAGTGCTGCGTAAATTGTCAGCGCTATATAAATACCTGTAATAAATAAATAAAATCAGTGTAAACAGCAAAAAAAACCTGACGGGTTATACTCTCTCCAAAACTAAAAAAAAAAAAAAAGTTTGGCCTGTAGATGGACTTTAATTGTATGAATGGTTAGCAAGTGAAACATTACTACAGGTTTTTAAACGTTTCTGCTCTCTGATTTGCAGTAAGATATTTCTAAAGAATTTGAATTGCCTTTTGGAGAATTCATCCTATTCCACATGACTGGAAAATAGGTTTATTTTAGATTTACTGTTCTACTTGTCTTCCTAAAATATTTTCTGTCACTGTTAACAAAATAACATCTAGTTAGCAGCTGTGATCTGACCCATTATTGGCATGTTATGAAAGTGCGATCTTATTACCATACTTGTGTAAATGCCTAAATTCACTTTAGAAAAAGAAAACATTCCTACTATGCCATTTAAAGAAAACCTGTGCTTTGCCCATGCGAGGAAAACCAATATGATTACTTTAATGCCCCCTCCTTAGCAGAAAATGCTCACCTTTCGGAAAAAACAAACAAACCTGGTACTTACAAGTCTGGAGGAGTATATGACTCTCTCCCCTTTCTCCCATGTGGCAGTGCTTGTGATTGGTAATTTGCCCAGTGCTATCACACACCAACTTTGTGTTTATACAGGACTTCCTTTCCTTGCTTTCTGTGGCTAAATTAAGTGTAAGGAGCGTTAAGGGAAGATGAAATTTGCTGCTGGAGACAGGACCAATAATGGGAACCTATTGCTTTGTTTTGCATAGCCAAAGCACAAGTTTATTTTTACACTTGGAGAATGACTGTCACTATTTGCTGTCTGTTATAGTCCACTAGGTCTGTCCACATTGCAGCCTGCATGTTGCGGCCCATTCATGAGAGAGAGACACTGAGACTGACGGCCCAATGCCATGGGCTCCATTTTATGTACGGGCTGCAGTATTAAGTAATACTGTGAAGCATACAGAAAAACAGATTGAGATATCCACTGTTCATTGTATGTTACCTCTCTGTCTGTAATCAGTGTAAACAGTTATAATGTTAGAGAGTAGGCCAATAAACAGTTTGTACCAATGTACCCTACCCTTCTGTATACAGAAATATAGCCTTCATAATTAAGCTGTTTACTTGGGCTTGTTGCAATAATAAATCCCATATCAAGTTCATATTGGATCTTCTGTGTCCCCTCATTTGACGTAATCATAGCATATCCTTTGTAAATAAGATATGCTTAACACCCTATCTGGAAGTGATGCCTGGTAGTTAGCGTGCTGAAGGAGAAAGCCCCAGTGAGTGGAAATGTTATGTTATATTTATCTTGGTAGTACAGTGTTGTCAGAGTCAGTCCATCCAAAACTGATGCATCTCAATTATCAATACACTTTGTTTTGCTGAATCACAGACAGGATTATTTACCCCCTCAGATTCTCTGGAAGTAATGTTTTCTTGTTTTATAGTTAAGGCAAGCCCCCCACCCCCCAAGAGCCCATTCTGAGCCTGATGAAGGGGACCCTCTGCGGCCCCGAAAGCGCTCGCAGTTAAACGGCAATGTGCTAATAAATCGACTATTGCTTCATTAACCCTTGGAGTGCTGGTGGGGTTATTTTCTATCGTATCTCTTCACGGTGCCATCCGTGGCCACTACAAGCACCCACCCGTCCACAACCTGTCCTTTTTTTGACTCCAGTAAGGAGTGTAGCAAGAACTCTTGATTTCTGAACCCCTTTGTAATGACCTCTGTTATGTGGACAGAACTGGCAATTCAGAAACTCACTGGTTTTACCTTGACATATTAGAAGAAGCCAGTGAGTGATGCGAGGCACCAGCATCAACCTAAAACTGAAATATCAGATTCTAGGTGGAATGATACCTTCATGCTAATACTGAAAAATGGCCTGGCCAGGAAGGGGGTCTAAACACCTGGTCTTGAAGTGGTTAAGGAAGGGGAGGGAAGTGGTTTGTCTTGCTGTGCCTGTGTGTTTGGGGAGACATACCCAGTTTACTGGCACACACAAGGGTGCCTCCATAGGACCCTGCAAGGGATTGGAGCCCCTGTAAAACAGGATATCAGGGCAAGTGCTCAGGTTACCAGCTGACTCTGCAAGAATCTAAAACTTTTAAACATCAAGGAGCAGCATCCATTGTAAGTGATGTAAATTTAAAGTAGCTTAAAACCATTTTGCTTTTCACTTTAAGCACTGCTAGCATTCATTTGTACGTTATCACTGCATTTTTTGGTAGATACACTAGACATACCATGTCTAATGGATAGTATTCACCAAGGCTGGGGTGGTGTTGGTGGATGGTGCACAATTGGGGGGGGGGGGTGGGGCGGGGGGGGGGGGAGGCGTC